TTAATTTTCTTCCTAGTAGCTGGCATAGTGCTGTGTTTTGGATATAGTATGAGAATAATGTGATAACACACTGATGTTTTAGTTGTTGCTAACCAGTGTTTATACTAAGTCAAGGACTTTTCAGCTTCCTGTGCTCTGCCAGCAAGGAGGTGCACAAGAAGGTGGGAGGGGGCATAGCCAGGACAGCTGACCCAAACTGACCAAAGGGCTATTCCATACCATATGACGTCATGCTCAGTATATAAACTGGAGCGACTTGGCCGGGGGGCAGCGATCGCTGCTTGGGGACTGGCTGGGCATCGGTCGTCGGGTGGTGAGTGGTTGCATCACTTGTTTTTCCTGGGTTTTATTCCCCTCTCTCTCTTTCTTTCTCATTGTTTTCCTTTTCATTACAAATTTTTATTATTTTTTTTATTTCAGTTATTAAACTGTTCTTATCTCAACCCACAAGTTTTCTCCTTTTACCCTTCTGATTCTCTCCCCCATCCCACTGGGGCAGAGTGAGTGAGCGGCTGTGTGGGGCTTAGTTGCTGGCTGGGGTTAAACCACAAAAGTGTGCTTTTGTACTCTGCTAGAATAATCTTTTTTTCCCCAGATATCAAAAGTGGCCCATGGGGATCTAGCAGAAGCTGGATTTCTTTCCCCTAAGGAGCAGCAAATCTTCAGTGGTGTGTAATGATGAGATCACACAAACTCACATCCAGCTGTATTTTGGGGTTCTTGGGAGTTACGTTCTTTTCCATCAGTGTGGCAGGATTTGTTTTAGTGTTTGTAACGCTAGGTGAGGGGCTAGTGGGGAGGAGTATGCTTTGGCATCACAGCTACTTTTCTGAAGAGCAGTAGACAATGGATAGATGTACCATTTGGGGAATACCCGCTTGCATTATATCTGGTAAAGGGTAAAAACATGTTCCTGCTGCTTATTAAGACTCTTCCCTAAGAAACACATATTCCTTTTTTTTTCCCCTCTATTTTTCCATATGTATTCTTTATTCACTTAAATAACAGTTTTTCTTCATAAAGCTTAATTATTTTTTTTGCTCTTGCTTTTTGTGTGTCTGACAAGCAACTACTAAAGAGAGCATCCGTTACTGGTGGGTTTATCAAGATTGGCATGTCTGCTCCTGTGTGAGTACAGGGAAGATGGAAAGTAACTGTGTCTTGTGGTTTTGTTCTCTCTTGCCTTGAGTATTTCTGTTTTTTTGGTTCTTGAAAGTAGAAGCCAGCAAGGAACATGTGGAATGAGATACATGTTGGTTTGATTTGGCTTCCTGAAATGCTACTGGTTTTGGTCTTTGTTTTTTTCCTTGTAAAGGCAAAACATGGAGGGGGGGGGTAGCTCTATATGGTGGTGAATTTCTCATCAGGCAGTGTGTTGGTTTTGGCTGGGGTAGGGTTAATTTTCTTCATAGTAGCTAATATGGGACTGTGGTTTGGATTTGTGCTGGAAACAGTGTTGATAATACAGGGATGTTTTCATTACTGCTGAGCAGTGCTTACACAGAGCCAAGGCCTTTTCTGCTTCTCACCCCACCCCACCAGCGAGCAGGCTGGGGGTGCACAAGAGGCTGGGAGGGGACACAGCCGGGACAGCTGGCCCCAAATCACCAAAGGGATATTCCATACCATATGACATCGTGCTCAGCAATTAAAAACTGGGGGAAGAAGAAGGAAGTGGGGGATGTTCGGAGTGATGGCCTTTGTCTTCCCAAGTCACCGTTACGCGTGCTGGAGCCCTGCTTTCCTGGAGATGGCTGAACACCTGCCTGCCAGTGGGAAGCAGTGAATGAATGCCTTGTTCGGCTTTGCCTGTGTGCGTGGCTTTTGCTTTACCTATTAAACTGTGTTTATGCCAACCCACGAGTTTTCTCACTTTTACTCTTCTGATTCTCTCCCCGATCCCACTGGGGCGGGGAGTGAGCGAGCGGCTGTGTGGGGCTTAGTTGCCGGCCGGGGTTAAACCGCAGGCAGGAATGGCTAGATGTTACATCCTCAGTACTCTACCGGTGTATTTTGCAAGGCTTTGTTCATTGTTACAAGCCTTTATTCAGGCAAAGGCTCATCTTGGCACAGTTAAACTGAAGGATTTATAGATAATTATAACTAATAATAACGGATCTGGAAGTTCTTTTTTAGCAATAGGTGATTAAGATTAATAGATACCTCATAAGTGGTACTCTGGCAGCCAGCTTATAATTGTTCAAAGGATGGTTTTTAAATTGGCCTTTTTGTGTAGCACGTTGGTAATAGGTAAGGTGTTACACTTTTTTCAGGGCTTTGCTCTAGGGATTTACACTGGGCAATGGTGTTGTCACACACTTTCTAAGGGCTGGATCTTGGAAAGGCAGCCAGGTTCATTAGATCTCCTGAACTGTAGCCTGCTCTTTCTAATAATAAACACTGTCGAAGTGGTATAGATAAGGATAGCAGAGAAAACTGTTGTTTGAAAGGGAGAAACTGGTGAAATGGGGGAGGGGGGAGGGGAGGAATCTTTCACGTGTGACTTGCTGTCAAGTGGGTATCAAAGAATATTCTTGTGCTGCCATGGTGCAATAGGATGTCTCTTGAATCTGCATTAAACACTGATCTGGCACTGTGCAAACTGGTTAAAGAATGGATACTGTAAAAATAAAAGGCACTACGACTTTATACTTTGGAAAGATTCTTACAAATGTTATTAGAAGAGTAGTCCAATGATAACCTAACCCAACTCCTGACCAAATGTGATTCCGAGGTACGGAGGCTGTGGCCTCACGTGCAGCAGCAAGGTAGCTTAGGATGTGCTGTCCTCTCCGTTGAGCCAGGACGGCTGTTTGTGGGGCTGTGCAGTGAATCAAACTGGGACCCGGTACAGTGGGGCACTTCTCCTCCCCGTTCCCTGGACAAGCTCCCTGACTTGATTCACTGTATCCCTGTGGATCAGAAACCACCTTCCAGGGATGGGAGCAATTCTGCATGGGGGCGACAGCCTGAACTGGCACTTCTCTGATGTGTTTGTGCATCCACAGCCTTCAAATGATCGCTAGAATTTCCTTGGTCTGTTTTCTGGACAAGGTGCCTCTGCAAAATAGAAAATAAGTTTACTCTTGTTTTTACACAGCCTGATTTTTCACCCAGAATGGGGTAGGTGTGTATGTTTGTGCCACTGCTAGCTTGGGACGTGTTGAATTGATGCAGAACGGCTGCATTAGACAGTGAGTAGAGACATGAGAGAAAGGGGAAATGTGTAGTTATGTTCTGTTTCATCTTGAATATTGGATTGGTAAGATACTGTTTTAAAAAGCCTAAAAGCTACCATGTTTAAAATCAGTCAGCATCCCAACCCTAAAGGAGTTCTGAAGATGAGCTTGAGAACTCTTATTAGGTATCAAAAAACATGGCTCAATGAAGATTGATTTATTTACATTGCATCATAATCTCCTTTTCCCTCTGATATCCCACAAGCAATAAGTAAGATGCCCCTCTTCCTCTGGAGGATAACCCCATCAGCCTCTGCCTCCCCATCCCCAGCTGACACTCTCTTAGGTCACTGAAGCAATCAGTATTGTTCAACAGTTGTTACTCCTTTATATTCACTCTTGAATTTTAGCTCCTTTTCCAGACCTGATGAAGGACCTGTTTGCCTACTCCTCAGTGTAGCAGGTGTTCAGACCTCTCATTACCTGCATCCTCAAACAGCTGCTGACTATGCCACTGCCAGTTTATTCATAACACAGTTTTAAGGCTGTTTAAATCTTGCCGGCCTGTGTCTGGAGAGCCAGAAGGCTGCAGAATGTCTGTTGTGAGCTTGCAGTGTTGCTAGCTTTTTTTTTCCCCCCTCGCCTCCAATTTGTAGTATGAAGTGCTCTAAGCCCTATTAAAAGAGCAACACAGTGCCATTTTTTTCCAGTGTAAGCATGTATTACCACATGCAATGGTTATTGCCCTGACTCGTCTGCACATCTAATAGGATACACATCACCTTTGAAAACTTGAGCCACGTCATGTGTCCAGGTTCTACAGTAGCAGCAAGCTGTCTCATGGAGCTGTTGTGAAATGTCTCATTTATCTGTGCTATCTTGACTTTTGAGGTGATTTTTCTCAAGACTTGTGCATGGAGTTGTAACAGCTAAATCTCTACCAGTTCTGTCCTCCTCCAGGCATGTCAGGTTATTGCTTTAGATATGTGTAAACGTAACAAGCTGCAACACTGCAATCAAAAAATGTGCTCTTAGCAGCTGCTGAAACTTCATTCTCAATATATTCATTCTTGTATAGACAATTCTGCCAGCAGAAGCATAAACAAGTCCTGATTACTACTTAGGTCTTAAATAAGTTGAAAGTCTTCTGAATGCCATACAGAAAATAGGTTTAAATCTCTTTTTTGTGTCACTGCTGAAATTCAGTTTTTAATTTTAGCATCTTAATTGGGACTCCTTAGCTTTGGAGTTAATTCTACAACTGAAGAACCTGCAAATAAAAATGTCACGTTCTGGTTACTGATACTGTAGTCTCTGAGGCCATGATTTTGGGGCAGGGTGGTGGTGGTTTGTTTTGAGCTAGGCCATGATAATTACAGGAGGGGTTGTTCTAATACTTGTGTCATAATTACAATTTGCCATTTCTTTTCTGTACATTAATGCCAGTGTTTTTTGCTGTGTTCATCTAGACTGCCAGAGTTGCAAACATGCTTAGAAAGAAAAATCAATGTAAATTCAGCTAATCAATTAATATGCATCTTTCTAGGCACAAAGGGTTTGTGGTCTAGTCATGGCACAACATTTTAAGTTTTGAATGTTTAGCTCCAGCTTTGGATGAAACAGCAGGAAGCATGCAAGAACAGAAGAGTGAGCACTTCCTCCAGTTAATTTACCTGTATATTTGCTTGCTTGTGTGTGTGTTTGGTGGGGTGTGTTCTGCGTTTTTGAATTTTTTTTTTTTTCTTTGCTTGCATAAGAGAGATTTTAGCTTTCTTTCACTGTTGTGTGGATCTGAACAGGTTTTTTGATTTCATTTTATAGGAGGAAAATGGCCCAAACTACTGCACCAGCAACATCCATCCATGATGAGGACTCCTCTGAAAGCAGAATGGTGGTTACATTCCTCATGTCAGCACTTGAGTCAATGGTTAGTAGAGAAGTTAAGCAGCTGCGTCATAATTCTGTCTTGGCATGTGCAGTATTACAGCAATATGTTGCCTCCCGCTGGGGAGCAGGAAAGGTGTAATGTTTTATCTTTACCTTATTGCGTGCTGTCCAACGAGCTGTAACTCTCTCTTTGCTTGGAAAATCATGCTAACAGTCATCTTGTTTCTTGTTGTGGTGTGGTTGTTTTAAAAATTATTTTGTCAAATAAACAAACGAGAAGTATTTCTTGATTGCTCAGGTAGAGCGTGGTTGAAAGGCAAGAGTATGTTCTGATCTTTGTCATCTGTAATACAGAGTGAATAAATGGTCTTGAGCCTAATGCCTTGTCCTCAGCTGCTGTACCAATTCAACAAAACTTGTTCAGAAAATACTTTTTTTTTAAGTTGGCATATCACCTGTTTTTTAGAAGTTATTTAATCATTGTGTGGTGGGGTTTAAGGTTGGCCAGGGCTGTGAGTGGAAATGCCTGTCCCATTTCCTTGAAGTCAAGGTGCTGTCAAAGATTTGGTTCTTTAAAATTGTTTTCTTAAATGATAAGCAAGAACAAAAATTTTCTTTTCAGCAATGAAACTTTGAATGGAATGTTATAAGAAAATTGATTGCAAGCCCTTTTTCCCAATGGGTATATTTGGTTCCTAAAGGCTTTGTGTCACTTTTTCCTCTCATGCTGCAGTTGTTGGTATCTTCATAGGTTGCAAGCAAACTCTGATTTGATTTCCTAGGAGAAATTGACCTTCTGTGGTCACTTCTTGATGTTCTCAGTAATAATCTTAGGATCTTCGATCTCTCCTTGTGCCACAGGCTTCCTGCCTTCCTTTTTTGCCAGAAATTTCTCCCAGCAGAACACACGTAGGTGTTGACAGGGAAGATGCAATCCTTCCGCTCAGGAGGAATTCACCTGAGCTTGAGCACAGCAGGCGGGACAAGACAGACTGCAGGCAGCCTTCCTGCTTGCAACCACACGTTTCTGAACAGAACATGATGTGTGATAAGTGTGCTGTGAATGAACAAAACTCCTATATGCTCTGTTGAAAGTTGGAGTAAGACAACGATCTAACAGGGGAGTGATAATTTCATATGGATTGATGTCATAAATAATTTTAATTAAAAACAGTGCAATCTCTGAGTCTAGACAAGGCCTTAATTTCACTAATGCATCTACAATGCTTTTAAGATTCCTGATGAAAAGCACTCCAGATGTATAAATTATCCTTTGCTAATGGCTGATGTTGTGTTTCTTGCAGTACCTTCTGCAGGGTGGATGCTGGCAACAGAAGTAATAACTGTTTTACATGATACCACATACATTTCTATTAACTGTACTCTTAACTATGGCAATAAAAGCTTTTTGTTTTTCTTTTTATAGTGTAAAGAACTTGCCAAGTCCAAGGCAGAAGTTGCCTGTATTGCTGTATATGAAACAGATGTGTTTGTAGTTGGAACTGAGAGAGGAAGAGCCTTTGTCAATTCTAGGAAAGATTTTCAGAAGGATTTTGTTAAATACTGTAAGTTTCAATGTTGTATTTTTGTATTTCACAAGCTGCTTAATGTGTATTGCATGGTACTAATAACTTCGGGGAGCAAAGTTCTGTATATCATGGCTACATGCTATAATTACATTGACTATGGCAAAACCAGCTGTTTAAGAACGTAAAAATCATCAGTAACAGTGGTCTTGTCTGGAGTGTTACTTCAACTGTGGCTTGAAATGTTCATTTTTTCTTAAATAATATGACAAACTAGTACAATAAGAAGTATTAGACTGTCCACCCTCACAACACATCCTGCATTTCTTAGTGCACGTTAATTTTTCTTTGTATCCCCTCCTCCAAGTCTTTTTTCCATGTGTGAAGGCTGGGCAGGACATTGAACAGGTAGTAGACTACTTCTGTCAGCTCAGATGGTCCTGGTTCTTCAGATCACTTCATGCCTTATTAAAGCAGATACACATTTTTGACAAGATATTATTTTTTTATATAGCTTTTTTATGTCACTGTTATTTAGTAGACAGAAATATGTATCTATATCATAATGACCTAAAATTACATCTGCCCTAAAAAAACAACATTTACTGTTGTATTCTTTTAAGTACATCTAGGGGTGTTTTTTGTTTAGTTTCATTTCTATAGTAGAACAGTGGAACTTCTGTGTTCATAAAACATGATCCACTGAGTACAGGACAGTATTTTTAGGAGTTAGGTTTCAAAGATTGAGTGACTCTTTGTCGGAGCATTGATGTGCTCATTTAAGAATGTGTTGTTGATGGACACTGCTTAATCAATAACGAAATGTACATTTACCTGCCTAGGGAAAGGGAGGTGGTGCAGGTCAAGAGCAGGGTATGAGAGAAGAATCAGTCTGGGTGGGAGTTTAAAAGCAACAGCTGTAAAATATTCTGGCTTGACTAATTAAATACTGCTTGGAAAGCAACTATGTTTAATCTGTAACAGAAACATTTGCTCCTAAAAATGCTTTTGCTGCTAGCTAAAATTCTCATGGAGGTTTTGTCTCAAGATCATTTGTTTGTGGTGGGGCTCTGGATTTTTGCCACTGACCTACTCACTTGGACAGTGACTTTCTGTGCACATAAGTCTATTTACTCTAAGGAAAGTCACCGCAATGTTGCATTGTAACAGATAACTGATACCAAACTGCAGAATTACGACCTCACTGAGGAATCGAGTAGAAGATGAATCAATTCCTTTTTTGTTTTTTATAGGGGCGGTCTTCTGATACTGGTATTTATGAAAACTGTTAGCTGAATAATGGGGAGTGTGTGTGTGTGTTAATTTTTTCACCTGATTTCTTTTCTTTGTTGTGGTTCCTTAAAGGGCTTCCCTGAGGTCCTAGAGGCTTTGTTTTATTGCCAGTACAGTGGTATCATGGGCCCTGATATGCTGGAGACTTTGTATACTGGGCACAGCTATTGGTGGGGAGTCTGAAATAACTGGAATTTGATGTTTGATCTCCCTGGCTAGATCTGTATTTCTGGTTCTGTACTGTGGGAAGGGCTGGCTTCTCATCCATGCTTGTGTTTGACTGTATCAGATGTGGTTTCTGTAGATATGTGTCTGTGTTTAAATCTTACATTAGTTCTGATAATCCTGATCCTCTGCTTTATTCCAGTTACAATATACTCGTTCTTGGGCAGTGTTTTTGTACTGTCAGGCCAATAAGATTAAACAATATCCACTTTGAAAACAGTGTTTTCTTTATGCTTCTTGCAGAACACCTCAGTCATTGCTTTCATGGTTTCACTAAGTGCATATGCCCCATGCTTTCTGGGGAGTTTTGATGCTGGAGGTAGTTTTCTCCTCTTGCTGACAAAGATGTTGGTAATTCCAGAAAACTTGACTTCAGAACACTAGTTTTTAGGAATAATAGCATTATTTATTCCTGGTGATGCTGATTCCATCACTGCCTTTGACAACTTTGAAGTCTTGATGAAGTTTATAGTGTAATATCTTTTAACCTAAAGCTTAGAACTGTGGAGGCAACAGTTCCTTTCCCCTCACACCTTGTTTCTTCAGTTAAGTATGAAAGCTAGCAATAGACAATGTTAATTGCAATTTTATTAGGTGTTTTGGAAAAACCCAGGGAGGCCACGGTTCTGTGTGGTTTTAGTAAGTTAAGAGTAGGGTCCTTTTTGTTCCTTTATGATTAATAAAGGCTTCCAAGAGATTCTTACATTGCTGTTACAATTAAACCTTTAAAAATTCAGCTGTGATGTCAGTCTCTGGAACACATGGTGCTGACAGTATTGAGAATTAGCTCTCCACTTGTGCGGGTCTCTTCATTTTTCTTCAAGTATGGAAACAGAAGGGTAGTTACTAAGCATTCCTCTAGCTATGTCTGACTTTCTGTTGTGACAAGCCAGCACGTGTCTCCAGTCTTTACTTCCATTTTTCCCACAGCTCCTTTGTGTAGTTTGAGTAAATACGAAGAGTTTTCGGAATCTGGAGGGCTCAGGCTTCAAACCCGCTGCTTATTTTTAGTAATGAATATAATTTAGTGGGCTAAATTGATGAAATGTATATATGAGGTTTATGAAGGAAGTAGCAAGTACACTTTCTAGCAGTATAGGACTGATTAAAGTAACAGCGGTTCAGTGAAAGCGGCACTGGAGTTTGGTTTCCTGTGGCTTTCATTCATAATGACTTTCACCCACATGGGTTCCCTAACGGCTAGCTGCAGGGGAAGGAGGAGCCCTGCGCATATCTCATGTACCTTGTTACCTTAAGGAAATGCATTAGAAACAAATTATAGCAATGCTTTTTTTAACGTTAGTATGGATTGTGTAGTCTGTGTTGAAGAACCAGTCAATAGGCATTGGTTATTTAAAATTGGGTCAGATAATACATTCTTCTGAACTGTGCCTGATTAAGATGGCTGTAAGCCCTATGTTACAGTGAAATAGTATGTTTTAATCGATGTAGAACTGCATGTGCTTGTATGCATAGCATGTAACTTAGGTAACTTGCAGTGTCAGTTATTCTAAGCCTGTGTAAGTTTGTATTGTACATAAAAAGAGTATATCCTTTGAGTGCCTGCTCATATTCAAAATACAGACAAACATGGATACTTGTGCACTGTAAGCAATCAAGATCATACACGTCTTGCCCTACCAGTACCTCTTTGTTTTAGTTGCTGTTCCCTGCTGAAGTGTATTGTGTGGTCTTCAGTTCCTCTTGGATGGCCTTGGCAAGATGAAGTGCCTCCTTGCTCTCTGGATTGCTGTGGAGTTGAGGATTATCAGCCATCCTGAACAGGAGACTTATTGCTGGCGTGTCTCAAGAATGCTCTTCCCTTCATGTGTTCATCTTTGTCATCTTGGCAGTTACCCTTGAGGTTTGGTCAAGGTTTGGTATCAGCTCTGTGGAATTCATTCCCATTTGAATGGAGCTGGATGTGGTTTATAAAACAAACAAACAATCAGAAAAAACCAGAAGAGGCCTCATCATCCCCCGGTTGTATTTGCCTGTCAGCAGAGAGCTTTCAGAAGAGCTTCCTGACTCAGAAATGCTTTTTTGGTCATCTGCTCTGGACTTTGAAAGAGATTTACCCAGCACTGTGTGTTCCATCCCATCTGCCAAGGAGCTAATTGTTCTCCAAGAATCCTCGTTGCCTCTGCAAGCATTTCCACTGGTACTGGCTGTTGCACCATTGGTATGTAGGTCGCATGGAAGCGTAATCCTGCTAATTCTGCATCTTTCTGTCAGCTCTCGTAGTCATGCTGCTTTTTCCTTCTTTGGTGTCAGGGCTCTGGGCTTGCTTGCCTGAGGTGGGGCCATCTTGCATCTGCAGATGGTTCATCTTGGATGACAGGTCCTTTATTTTTAGGAGACTTCATTTTCCTTCTGGTGGCCTCAGGTTTCCATGCTGTTCTTAACAGTGCATCTGGTATGGGCCAGAGTTTGGCTTCACGTTCTGCTAGAGACTTTGGCTCAGTGTCTTTCACTCTTCTTACCTCTACCTCCATGTCCATCCAGCCACAGGTTACAAGAACTCATTGTAGCTTCAAGAATGCTCAGAATCTGAGTGTTTTTAATGGGCACAGCTGTTCCTCCTGCTCGTGATGAATAAATGGCACACGATGCTCCGAAGACCTTATGGGAAAGATTGCTCAGCTTTGGCTCCCCAGTGTCTTTGGTATGTGGGTTACTGTTCCCTTTTGGATATCCTCCATCATCTGCAGGCAAGTAAAATGACTCTTCCCATAACCTAGGCTATTGTGGACCCGCTTGAAGATCTGTGGCTAGGCTTTTGTCTCATTGAATCCTTCTGGCCTTTGAGCAAATAAAAGTATCAGGTTTTCTGGGGAATTCTTCTTCTGACATTGTGCTCCCTTATCTCTGTGACTCTGTAACTAATGTAATGCTTCAGCAATTTAGAGGGGGGTGGAAAAAGCAAACAAAATCTGAAACCTGAAAGGCTAGATCTTACTGGTTTAAAAAACAAACCAAAACAAACTCAAAACTGGCAAGTCTCTAACTGGATTGGCAACTGTTGGACTACTTTGGCCCACTGTAATTTCCATCTGAATAGCTGAAATTGGCATTTCTGGGCTTGTAGTAGTTTGTCCCTATAGTCTAGAGAGAATTAAGCATCTCTGGCTGAAGTTATACCATGTCTAGGGTCTTGCTATGGTAGATGCCGGCTTCCTACTCCATAGCTGTAATTATAGCGATGCAGTGACTGTCCTCACTTCAGGTTTTGACTTCCACAGAAGCTGCTGTTCACTGTGCAGGATCTCTTCTCTGTGGAAAGTGAGCTTTTTAGCTTAATATCTAAGAAGGTTTCAAATGCACAAAAAAGACTGTCAAGCAATCCTTTGGTCTTTAAGGACTGCCAATGGGATTCTAAGTAGTCAGTCTGTACATCACACCTACACTGGAGAGCATCAGTCTACTTCATCCCTAGCTGTTCATCCCCATAGGCTGGAGGATACCTGTGTGGGATTAAAGCAAATCTGTTACTGCCTAGACCTTGTTTTCCAGGCAGCCTC